AATTATTGTAGGTACGCAATCATTTTGCGCACTTATAGGGATTATTTAGCCTTGTTGGAATCATAACGATGAAAGTTATACATAGTCCCGAGGTATAATGCCTATAGTCCCGACTATGTAAATATACATAGGAGTGTAAATATACATAGTCCCGAGGTATAATGCCTATAGTCCCGACTATGTAAATATACATAGGAGTGTAAATATACATAGTCCCGAGGTATAATGTATAACGATAAAGTTATAATAGTCCCAAGGTATATAATTTAGCCAACATGTGCGGTGGTTCGGCGTACTGTAAGACGGACTTGTATTTTATGTTCATGTTTTCGATGTTGTTGGTGCTGGCGGCGCGACCATCGATTGCCACACAACGCAGACACTTCGCTGGCGTCGGCCGCGCTCCTCTCGCAATATTGATGTTCTGCTACTGAGTGGGCACCTGATTTGCTTGCATTTTTAATTCATTTAAATTTGATACCCCAATACTCTAATCAGTATCACATATTAAAAGTGCACTTGAGTTCTGCACTCTAACATGCGGTGCGGATGCTTTAATTCAGTCATTTAATTTGTTATTGTGTAAAAATCTAACCTTATCTCACGGAACTTATTCACAGGCGCCACTATCAGACCCGAGATGGTCGATATTTTCTCTGTTTCACAGTTTATTGGTTAAAGCGAAAAATAAATGCCCGAACTATCATGCTGTTGAGAGCTGATATAACTGTTTTCACCCTCAGCTGCTCTTACCAGTCATTGTGGACGACTTGATGAGGCTATACATCCCGCAAGGGCAATTTAATGAGGCGTTAGACAGACGAGTTTGCGTAACACGTAGCCCATGCCTGCGATGCGTGCTCTACACGCAGTTCATGTGCGAGGCACAGTGCACATCTGTACAAGTGTAAAGCAAGTCTCGGCTGCGCTGGTGTGCTGCAAGCGTCACAACGAGGCTCTTCACAGCCATCAGGCTTTGCTCTGCCTCATGTTCCTGCCACTTTTGCTGCTGCTGCTGCTGCTGCTGCTCCCTAACTGTCGGAGTGCTACTGCTGCCACTGCTGCTCCCAACTGGCCGAGTGCTGCTGCTGCTGCTCCTAACTGGCGGAGTGCTGCTGCTGCTGCTGCTCCTAACTGGCCGAGTGCTGCTGCTGCTGCTGCTCCCAACTGGCCGAGTGCTGCCGCTGCTGCTCCCAACTGGCCGAGTGCTGCTGCTGCTGCTGCTCCCAACTGGCCGAGTGCTGCCGCTGCTGCTCCCAACTGGCCGAGTGCTGCTGCTGCTGCTCCTAACTGGCGGAGTGCTGCTGCTCCCAACCGGCGGAGTGCTGCTGCTCCCAACTGGCGGAGTGCTGCTGCTGCTCCTAACTGGCGGAGTGTTGCTGCTTTTCCCAACTGGCCGAGTGCTGCTGTTCTTTAACTGGCAGTTGCTCGCGCTCTTGACGCTTCCATCAACCCGCTCGTGGCATTACAACTGCTGCTCGTGGTGTCATCCCAGCTGTTCGTGTTGCTTTCCATCAGAATTATTTCAACCTTCAAATATTGTACTATTCTAGAGACTGCTGCCTGTCGTTTAATCGCCCCTCCATCTACTTATTGCCTCTATATACCTGCAACCTTGTCAGAGAGCTCTGGCAAAACGCCCGAACTCTACGCATCCCATTTAGCAATAGACTTGGCTGCTGTTAGCCGATAAAATTAGCCATTTTTGTGTTATTCCAATAACGTGACAACATCATAGCTACGGTATATAAAATTTCAGCAAATCCAACGGCCACCAAACGCTCTTGTTTTCCTCGTTGATATTCATGTTATTCGTGTTTGCGCTGCCTACCTCATACTTAGTCTTTTGATGTTATGCTTGCCCTGGATGAGGAAATGCGTGTGTTTGCCTTCTCGTCTTGGCTTCATTTGCGTGTCATTGAGGGACTTGATAAGCGACTAACCATTGGTTCGGAGACCGCCTGTGAATACTTGTCACTTCTTGGCATGCCTTACGCTCAGTATATTCTGTGTCGAAAACCTTTACTATAAAGTTACTTACCATACTCCTGGTTGCAAATTCTGCACTACTTGTATAACCACAGTCATTTCAATCCAAGATTATCCTGTGGGTAATTTTGGTTAGCACGGCATCGAATATTTTAAATTTGTCATCTTAGATGTTCAAGTTCATAACCCGAGGTCTGATGTTGCAGGCGAATAGGATTCAACGTTATTGAATTCCATCTGAAATTCTCTATGTCTACCGGGCTTTGGGTTTCGAAATGACAGGAAATATCTTCGTCCTAATTTTCGATTTGATTATTCTTACTTTTGATGGAGTTGTTTGCGACACGGTTTATAGCTTGTCTTGTCCTTAGTATGTGTTTAGGACGTATCAGTCCCGGGCCACGACGGATTGCCGCCTCTTCTCTATGATAATTATCGTTTCTCACTTTATTATTGAACGAATGTTACTGCGATAAGGTAGTGGTGAACTTTTGCCGCCTGGATAGTGCCGATTATTGTTCAGATTATCAAATCATTGTATTATTTGCTTCAATTTAACCCTTTGTGTACAGATAAATTAACCGCTTGCTAAGCACTACAACGCTTTTTTTGCATTTCATACGCTTCAGAAGGGCCAAATTTGTTGATTGTTCCCTTCCGTTAGTGACTCGTTAATATGAGTCAGTGCAAGAATGATGAGCAATGCTGTCCAAAGTTATGAGAGTAAAACACGAGTCTGCGCTCGTAGCCAAATGCAGGAGAGCGTCTGACGGATTGATTAGAATGACGTCACCGAGGGCTGTGCCGCGTCTGCGCCGTAGTTGCGACTTGTGGGTACTGGGTAGCCTGCTGAGCAGTGTGCGGTCAGACGTGGTAGGGGTGTGTCGTGTCTCCTCCTCCTTGCCTGATACCAAGGACGAATACTCAAAACTGGGTTCGGCTTAACATCGCGCAATACTTTTCGGAATTCATTTGAAAACATTATTTAATGTATTAAATAGCCTGTTGTTTGCGTTCTTTGACCCGTTGCATATTTTTGTTTTGTTTATGACGAAGTAGGCGATTCTTGAGGCGACAGCAAGAGCTTTGATAGCATGCCTCAGCGAGGTGTTTTTTCACCATCTCCATTTAGAGGCGGGGAATTAATAGCAAGCTTGGTAACCTCATTTGGCCATACTCGGCTCCTTGAAGCTTGTCACACAGCTATGACGTCTCTCTAATAAGGATGTGCAAGTGTTAAGCCTGTTCTGACCCTGCAATATGTCGCAAAATTTATGTACTTCAGAATTTGCTGAAAGACTGATTATGTCCTGCTGCCTCTGCTTACAATTTCAGTACATTAATTCGAATCGGGAATTAGTTTCATTGTTCTTGTTTTCCGCTAAGCAAATGAAAGTAGTCAGGAATATTTAAGTTAAAACGGGGCCATCCAATACCGGTATGGTGACTTTTTCATTTCTTGGCCTTTATCACCTTCTTGCGCTCGGTGTTGGTCATTTCCTGCGTCGTGCTGACACGGCTTTTATAATCACTAGAAAGTGATGCATCTCTCCAGGTTTAGTGGTTAAAATTTTAACCATTACGTAAACTAACCTTTATCGAAGTGTCAACTTCCTGTTCACCTGCTGGTGCTGCGTTTTGGATAACGAATAATATCAGTGTCAGATACTTTAACTTCAGATTATCTTCATTGTCAGTTGATTCAAGATCAATTACAATAAGCTAAATAATAATCCATTTCCGTTTCATTAAAGGAAATGAGTCATCTTGCTCATAGAAAGCTCTCGAAGCCTGGGCTGTTATTTTTGATTCATATCTACTCTCAAAATGACTAACTTTAGAATGTTTATTTGTGCAACTGCTCTACTCCCACCGAAAAGCTTGCATAGTTGCACACGTTGTGGCATTAACACTTGATGGTATATGATTTCTTCAACTAAATATGTATTGCAATGTTTCACCAAGCAATGTATTTGTAGTACTCAACAATATATTTATGCTTATTAAAGCAATTTATAACCGATATTTGCTAAATTGCGTTACGCCACATTGCTGGTAAAGTAAGACGCGACTGCCATGCGTACGTCACACGTGTCGAGGGCGCGAGTCATGGACCGCTTCTTGGAAGGGAGTAGCGCTGCTGGAATACTCCTATGACGTCACTCACTTACATCCTGCACTTAGCGCCAGCACTGCGTTACGCAATCCAGCGCATGCAGCGAATGAATTTACGTGCTACAAGAATACAGCGTGTGCACTGAATGAGCGTACTGAATTCTGGAGTCTAGCGCATGCATTGAATGATCGTACCGTACTGGATTCTGGAGTCAAGCGCATGCATTGAATGATCGTACTGGATTCTGGAGTCTAGCGCAGGCATTGAATGATCGGACTGGATTCTGGAGTCTAGCGCAGGCATTGAATGATCGTACTGGATTCTGGAGTCTAGCGCATGCATTGAATGATCGTACTGGATTCTGGAGTCTAGCGCAGGCATTGAATGATCGGACTGGATTGTGGAATCTGGCGCATGCATTGGATGATTTTACACGATACACGAATCTATCGCAGTCATCTCACGGAACTGTTTCTACGAGTCGGTTGTATCTATAACTTTTTTTAAATTTGACTTCGTTGATCTGTTTTCGTTTCTTGCCTAGAGTTGATTATGTGTTTGTCCTCTCACCGCTTGACTTGCGGCAATCCTGTGGTTTGCTGTAACCATCATTGATCGTGAACAAATCAATTGAGCTTGGAAGCTTCGTGGAGATCACGCTTGGGAGCTGTTGTTCACACGCGTGGTACAAAGTTGTTTTTATTTCGTTACTTTTTCTGGAGGCTTTACTGTCTAAGCCAGACTCCAATGATATAAATCGTGAAGGATATTAGGTTTTTACTGAAAAGTAGTATAATAATAACACAGTTCTTGTCGTGAACACATTTTGGTGGCTTTTAAGACATTTGTGTTGTTTACGTGTTCTGTTTAATATTTGTATGCAGTTTAATCCTAATTTCTGTGATGCGTTGTGATGCAGAGCAAAGTGTTGGTGCTTAATATGGAGTGACTCTAGTGACGTGTAAGGCTGTAGAGTTCATCTCATAATACTGCTATCCATCCTCGAGCGCCCACCGCCCCAGTATCCGGGAAAGCCAGCCTATCTACACACCGGTGAGTAATTTGGAACTAGTACATAGTTTATTTGTGAGTAACATGGAACTTATGCATTGTTTTTGTGAGTACCGGTAACTTAAACCGAATGCGAATATAACACGGTTATAATACTTCAACTGTTTAATGTTCTGTGCGAATGTAACACATTATATTATAGCTGCCTTATATTCCCTACAAATATAACAGTATAGTATTTTAATATAACAATTATATATAACGATTATTTATATTCTACTAACCCATGTTCCGTCTTTTAAACGTAAATATTTTATTTAACTGAAGAAGTTGTCTGGTACTTCAATGAGCAGAGCCAAAGGAAACTAATCGTATATATATTTTTTATTTTCTGAAAATATGCTATTGCTATGATTTGATTTGTCGAGGAATTGTATTCCAAAACGTGAGTTCTTACATGTACGTCTAAGAGAAATTTTCACAAGACTGAATTTCCGACAATAATAAAGCATTAAGATGGTCTGAGTTGGTCAATAAAAAGAATTTCAATAGAGTTTTTTTTTTTTTTTTTGCTAGTTGTTTCAGTGAACATTTAGCCGTAATGATGGGAGTAGGCAAATGTACATGTGGCGTATGGCTGCGTGAGTGACCGGAGTGTATTTATGGGAGTGTGAGTGAGCTGTGTACGTGTAGACATAAGGATATAATACGAGGCCTGCAGCCACATATCCTGCAAAGTTCCAACACAATTTCATTATTAAATGCTGCTTTTAACTTGAAAATTAATGTTGTTACATCCGAAACATCGTTTATGTATTATTATTTCTTGCTTAACCTGCCTTTTGATCTACCTACGTCTTCTAAAGTATTGTTCGACTCCTTGAAAATTGTAATGCATTCTCCGGTCATTAATCGTACGCATATATAAGGTACCTACCTATGTATTGTATATATAAAGATATACAAGTGTGCTATGTACATGTGTATATCTGAGGTGTATGAGTGCCCTGTGTACCGCGTAACTGCAGTGTCAGGTGGCAGTGCTGGCGTGTCCGGTGCCACGGTCGGTATCACATCGCACCCCGACACTCCAATTCCCAATGCGCTCTCCCGTGTTGTCACATCCAACGCTTATAACCGAGTAAATTTACCCCATACTTTTGGTATAATCTAAAATACAGTAGTGCCTCCTACAGGGAATCAATTTCTAAGCTGTTTTGTACGGTCATTTATCTAACGTTTTTACAGAATTAATAAATTTTACAGAACTTTATCAGTTAGTCATTACGTCGATTTCCTGGTTGACTTTTGTTGGCCGCAATGTCGTGCAGTTGGCTGCAATTATGCAGCGGATTTATAACTGAGATCAAGTGTTGCAGTTGGTGCTGGAGCGCTCAAGCACTAACGCTAACTACACTAGCATTAGTGTGTGGTGCATCGCTGTGGTAGTGTGTGGTGCTCCGCTGTGGCAGTGTGTGGTGCTCCGCTGTGGCAGTGTGTTCACTTCGTCTCTTTTGAGATGCTAACGCTGCTTCCTTCGAGCCAGCTTCAGCGGGCTGGACATCTGAGACCTTCCGCCCCTTGTGGGTGATGAATAATTGAGATCTTCCACCTTTATGGTGATGTTCATGTTGACTTTCGGTGCGAGATAGCTTAATAGCTGAAGCGCTAGTAAACATTTGGACACTAAACTAACTAAACTAACATTGTGTTGAGAGGTACATCATGTGAGGCTGTGCTTGTGCTGTGTTGGGAGTGGCGTGCTATCATGTGAAGCTGCCTGCAGTATGAGAAGCTGCGCATGTGATGTAGTATTAGATGTATGGTACTCTTCATCATGTGAAGCTGCCTGCACGTCATGTGAGGCTGTGTATGTACGACATGCATCTCGAGTGCTGCTCTCACAAGACGTACCGACCTCACGTACGCCCGTCTGCTCCCTCTTGTTTTGACTTGTGTCCTTTGAAGGATCTGGCTGTCCCAGCACTCAATTACACTTCGAAATTCTTTTCGACTCGCTTGAAAAAGACGATTAAATAACATGCGCGTTGTGAATTAGGTGTTAATAACATGCAGTGTGAATTAAGATGCAAATCATTCGATTCTACATTTTCCCATATGTTAACATGGTGCCTAACTGTCGCGAGTTAGCAGCTTCACCATTTTCCGGAAGCGCTTCAGAATTTTCGAACACATTTTTTAATATGTCACACTTGGTGGCTGTTTCTTTTTTTCAACAACCTCTGTTGAAAAGAAAAGGCAAAAATTTGAAATTTTATCAAGATCCTGTATGGTTAAATTATGGCCTCTGATTTGTTGACGTTGAGTAGCCATCCATCAAGTATTAACTCGTCATGTCAATTCACTCCGATTTCACAGAGGGTGCAGACCGTTCGTGCGATTGTGTGGCATTCGTCTGCTAAATGAAAATGGATCAAGCCATGCCAGGTTAGAACCTATACTTATTGCTTAATCCGTGCTTAATCGCGTGAACTCATTTGAAGAAAGCATGAACTCGTTCTAAATAAGACACGGAATCTTATAATTTTTAATTTGTAGGTTTTATTACTAAAGCTCAAAGTAAATTGCACCAATTTCTGTTAAGTGCAATTTTCTGGTTATTATTTAACTATAATATGGTTGTGTAATTATCTTATAATTCACGAATTTCTGCTATACCCACCGCATGCAGCAAATACTAATTAAGCTTTAGACAATTTTGTTAGTCTATGAAATGCGCAAACTGCAGGACGATGAATATGTGTTGAATGCACCTGCGTATTTCAAAGAACATGGCATCGACCTATCCATTACTTAATATACCAAGGACCCTGAATGTGGTCTAAATGTGTTCAAATCCGCAGACGCATCAGAAAGAAGATGCAAGCCAGGACTGCGTTGGCTAGGGCGTGGCTGTTCCGTTTGGTCTGATAACCCCAGCACATCGGAAGTGGAGGGTGAAGGCGGGGAAAGGGGATTCGCATAACGGGGAGTGCGAGCCGTGTGCACTCCACAGCTTTGCCTGGCGATATCGGACGCTGCTATTGCCAAACTTCTTCATTCTCAGCAGCAATACAGAGATTTATTTTAGGAACCAGTCCATTTTAATTTCCTGATCTACTTCAAGGTTTCATTCAATATCTTATGTATGTTAATGCTGGCATCTATGATGCTTTCTGGTTTTCTAATTGGACTCGAAGGGTAGGTCAACGAAGAAGTATCTTGTTTGCTACTAAGACTCTGTCTTGATTGAAGTAAATGATTTTACAATAAATTAAAGCCGTTTGCAATTTTTCGGTTACCAATTGGAAGACGCGACTGAACTTTAAATTCCTATATTCAAGGTGGCAAGAGTGTTTCTAATCTTGCTCAGGAATACATTGTGTTTCTGCTTGCCTTCATAATTGCTGAAGATTGCAGCGAGCTACTTTTTTCATTTAAGAAATCAATTTTTTCTTATTTTCTTAATTTCGCACCCTAACGCGTATGGAATCGTTTCAATGTTTTCGGTTGCTGGCAATTATTCTCGGTTAGGAATAATTATCGTTAAAAAACCGAAAGCTAGGAACACTGTCGCTGTTGTCGGTATATTTGATCTCTGTGGGAAAGCTGGAAACGTGCACAGACTGCGAGCAGAGCGTCTCTGCGATAACCTTACACTGCGACTGTCGATTAGTCTTACATGACGGCAGAAGATCGTACACATATTCTGTTGTTTACTTTACACTTATTCTAGTGTATTTTATCTTAATACAAGCTTTTTTTGCACTTATTTTAGTGTATGCTGTCGTAATACAAGCTTATTCTATTACAATTGTGCTGTGTTTATTTTGCAGAATGTTCAGGTTTAAGAGAATGGTCTGTCAGCGTTCGTTAACTGCATTGCAGTTCTTTTTCGTGTTAAGTGCTGTTTTATTTGAATTTCACCAGTTTTAAAATCGATCGATACTCGAATTCGTCATGTTTGATTTGATTCAACAATCGATTTAATTTTCAGTGAATCTGGTCGAAAATTCTGTTATTATTTGCGTGATAGTTCTAGGGCTGCCGTTTTGTTGAATCGTTTTGTTGTTGAAGTATTTTAAAAATAAAGCCTTCCTTTGAATATACATTTTTGTGAATCATATAGTTTTGAAAAAGTCACTTAGATTTACGTTAAATTCAAATTCTACTCATCTTGAACTCCTGGCATCGGTGACGGTAGATGTACAGCAGCCGGAGCTTGTTGGGAGTGCCTTCCTCTGACACAACGTCTTGATGAATGCCACATCACGCGCCTCACTTCGCCTGTGCTTCACGCAACAATCTACACTATTATTCTCGAGTTGATTCAATGTCGGAATTTTAGGCCATGTTATGTAGGTTACTAAAAGTTATCTGGGTAATCTTGATCGTGGGTCACTTAGACTCCTCACGTGACGTAACCCACATGTTTGAAATCCTGAGCTGAATGAGCTTATGTCACGAGTTCCGGGCTCACGAATTTTCTCGGGCTGAGTTTCACTACAAATATCTGACTAGCATTTACGATTTGTTCGGTGATCAAGCCTTGACGTGGTGGTAGACTCACATGATTATATTAGTAAGTGGGGAGATTTTGATTCTCTAACCATTGTTTCCTGTTCTATTTAGCTCATTGCGCTTGACTGATCTTCCGTAGGGCGTATAATTGATTTTGAACGAGCAAGATTTCAAAAACTCGTGAACATGCAGGACAAATTATAGTAGGTATATTTGTCCAACTAGTGACACTTTCTACACGTAGCACGGACACGCCCTTTCTCCCGGCCAAACTGGGTCAGGATGACCCAAACAAAGGCTAAAAGTGCATCACTATTTGGACAGTATCACTCATTTCTCTGAGTGAGGGGCTTGATGTTTGTCATCACGCTGCCTGGTCTTGTGCTGTATGAAGGTATGATTCGCGTGCTAAATGCCACGTTCACTTGAGTTACTGCTTTTACCTACACAATTTCTGGGCTTCTCAACACTGAAGGTTCACACATTATTTACTGTTTTTTTTTATTGTGATAATTTTTTTC